TACACTTACTGATAAATGGAATAGAATTAAGAATCCAAAAATAAACCCTTATATTTATGGTTAGTTGATTTTCAACCAGGGTACCAAAACGATTTAATGGGGAAATAGTAGTCTTTTCAAAAAATGGTGCTGGGACTGATCTTGGGTGGCCTCGGCCTGTACTGGCTTGAAGCAGGATTTCGATTCCCCAGCCAGAGATTGAAGTCAGGCCTCAGCAGTGAAAACACTGAATCCAATCATTAGACCATCAGGGACAGTAGCCAGTGACAAGGCCCTGGCCTGTCGGCTTTGCAGAAATGAATTTCCACAAATAGACGGAAAGTGGTGAAACAAGTGTTTATTAGGAGGAAAAAGAGTACGTGTGAATAGACACACGGGCAGGCTCAGAGACAGAGTTACACCACGTGGTAGTTTGAATCACTTAAATGGGGCATTTCTTCTGGGTTTCCTGTGGCCAGTCACCTCGCTTTGCCTGGCTCTGAGTCTGTATTTGGTCTATCTCAGGGTTCTCCCCTGTGTGCGAGCACACCTCTTAACCAAGATGGATTCTAGCGAAGAGGTCTATGGGTAGGTTGACATCACTTACTATGGGGTGGCGCCTCCTCCCTTTTTGACCCCCCAAGGAGCCTTTCTGCGCTCGTGTAGTTGGGAAGGTCTCCTTGACCTCGAGAATGAGAAATATATGGTCTCTTTATCTGTTATCTGGGCAGGGCTTAGCTCCTCCTCGCTCCTGCTATTATCTTTGTCTTGGAGTATCTGTCCACAGGGGACGGACTCTAGCTGCTCAGCCTGGGGTCCATCTATCTCCTGCCTCAGGACAAAGTGAATATCCACAGGCAAATAAATGAAGTCGGACCCCTTCCTCATACAATATGCAAAACTTAATTTAAAATGGATCAAAGACCTAAGTATAAGAGGTAAAGCTATCAAACTCAGAGACAGACACATAGGTGTAAATCTTTGTGACCTTGGATTGAGCGATGTTTCTTATATATGGCTGCAACAGCACAAGCAACAAAAGAAAACATGAAATGGACTTCATCAAAACTAAAAACTGTTGCTCTAGGCTCTGTACAGTTCGGCCTTTATAGTGCGGTCAAGCATACAACACATGGGCACTGCTGTTTTTCCTGCAGCCCCTCTTTGTGAGGCATTCTCGAAATCCACTAGAGATTGATTAACTAGACTCAAATTGGAACTTCAATATGCGAGCAGGAGTTAGGACTGTGCTTTCAAAGCTCACAGATGTGTCTGGATTAGATACTACGTGGTGGCTTAAGACACGTTTGTTTTGTAATATTCTAATTGCAGTTTGTTCTGCCAGAGTCCATACCACCCTATACTACTCTTGTCAGATATAAAAATAGAAAATAAAAACCTGTTCAACTTTAAAGTTATTATGTTCAGCCAAATCGAAACTCAGAGCAGAGGCATTGAACGTAAAGGTTGGGTGGTCATATCCACTATTAAAAGAAGTTTCACATCCGCATTTTTGCTTTAGGGGAGAGTGAGTTCTTGGGTCAGAGTTATTGGGGATACACAAGGAGAAGAAGTCCTAGGAGACCATAAAGACCATGGCAAAGTGGTCCAAATATCTGGTTCTGGCAGCAGCTGGGGGACAGTACTGTAGAACAGCAAACTACAAATTGCTGCCTGTTTTGTTAATAAAGTTTTATTGGCACACAACTACACCCATTCATTTACATATTATGTATCGCTGAGTTTGTGCTGAAACAGCTGAATTGAGTCTTTGCAAAAGGGACGGTATGGTCTGCAAAGTCCCAAATATTTACTATCTGGCCCTTCACAGAAAAAGTTTGCTGACCCCTGCTGTGTAACACCAGTACTACAGTCTGGATATCTCCATTTAGATGTCCCACAGACAAATCTAACTCAGCAGGTATAAAAATGCATGCATCTCCGTAACTTGCTCCAGCTTCAGTGTTCCCACTCTTGATTAATGGCACTACTGTCCACCAATTCACCCAAAAGAGAAGCCTCCCTCCCTTTTACCCTCTCACCCTATATATTACTTCACTTCCCACCCATCACCACATCCTGCCAATTCTACCTCCTCACTATATTTTGAATCTGAGCACATCTCTTCATTTCCACTGCCATTACCTTAGTCTGAGTCACGATCATTTTGTACAACATTGACAACAGCTTTCTAACTGGTCTTCCTGCCCCTAGTTTTGCCCATCCTCTGCCCCCAATCCATTTTCTACTCAATAATCATAGGATCTTTCTAATGTCTAAATCTGATTCTGGCACATGCATAATGATATATGCAGCTAAGATTTAATGATCCCTTACTATTTGCTACACATAGTTCTAAGTGCTTCATGTATAGTAACTGATCTTAATCCTCACATGAATCCTATATGGCAGATGTTGTTATTAACTCCATTCTTTAGATGAAGACTTTGAAGAGCAGAGAGAACCAGTGCAATCTAGCTCAAGTGTCTATAGTCTTAACTACTCTACTATACTGCTCTACACACACACACACACACACACACACGAACCTATCATTTATGGCTTCTCATCGCTCTTAAAATGAGTCATACTATTTATAATGGCCAAAGACTATCATTTTTTTTTGAGTTGTGTAGCCCTTTATTAGTGACTAAAATATAAGGTATCTATTGTACAACACAGGTAGTAATTGACTATAACTGGAGATTTTTATATTCTAATACAGATCATTTATAAATGCAATTTCTTTATTAAAAAGCTTGCACCCTTTTTGTTTGTTTGTGTACAATTTGCAAAACTATTCTGAAAGCGGAGTATATGTGTACAAGTCTGCAAGGAGTGCAAATTCAGGATATGGTAAATGTTTCACAAGTTACTTTCCAAAAACTGACTGCCACAACTGTGCCAAAGACTATCATTTTGATCTCCTGTAGCCCCTGCCTACCTCTCCAGCCTCATCGCTTGCCATCCGCAGCCTTGCAGTTCAAGCAGCAGTCTCCCCAGACGGCTCTACCTCCCCATACCAGTCACGCTCTTTTTCACCTCCATGCTTTTAGTCATGTTATCCCCGCTACTCTGGCTGTTTACTCTCTTCCCATCTCCTTCACTACACCTAGCCAGCTTCTACACATCCTTCAATGCTCCACTCAGGTCTTACCTGCTCCAGGAAGCCTTTGCAGAGCAGTCCGAATTTGCCCTTCCTTTGTGCTCCCATTACGCTTTGTTTTCCTATCCATTTCCATGCCCTCACTAGACTGTTTCATAACTGTCTTTTTATATATGTGTCTCCCTCACTAGACTGGGTGCTTCCAGTGCTTCTCCCGTTGCATCCAAATATTTTGCTTTACCCTCCTACTTTTCTATACTTTTTTTTCTAGGACCTTTTCGTCCCAGCCTTTGGCATAAGCTATAATGCCAAGAAGAGTAGAAAGGGACTGTATGGGATTTTGTCTTTTTGTGTGTAAATGTGTGAAAAGGAGATGTGAGGACATAAGGGGGATCGTGAACACCTTTGGAGAAAATGAGATCACATGATAAAAAGACTTCAGAGCTTTTTTTTTTTTTGTCATCTAGTAATAGTAACCTGCTTTAGGGTAGGCTAGTCCCTAAAACGGATAATGGCTCAAACACAATAGAATTATCTCAGTCATGTAACTGTCCAAGACAGATATTCTTGGTCAACAAGATAGTTCTCCTCCACATAGTCACTGAAGGACACGGGCTGACAGAAGCCCCTAGGCCACCCTGAGCTACCACACCCCACTCAGCAAGAAGGGGGAGAGAACATGGAGGAGCACACATGGGGGACATATATAGTCCAGGCCTCGAGGTGCCACTCATCATTTCTCCTCACATTCCATTATTGAGAACTTGGTCGTGTGGCCACGCCTCACTGCAAGGGAGCCTGGGAGATGTAGTCCAGCCTGTGCTCAAGGAAGAAAGAATGGTTTTGGTGGGAAGCTAGTGAGCTTCACAGATATACTGACAGTAAAATTGGGCTAGTTTACCTTGGGTGTTAGGTAAATGATGGAAGAATTTTATTTCCTTTGTACTAGTAAGCTGTATGGTGCAGTGCTGTTTAACCTTTCCCATGGGAAGCTGGAGTAATCAGATAGAGATCATTGCTGACAGTTGAGCTCCCTATTGAGTTGCTTACCAGGAAGTAACAGCCGGAGGGTGACTTGCAATGCTGATGATCCCTTAACTATTAATCACTGACACTCTGTAGATTGCCTTTAAGTAAAATCCCAGCTGAGTTTAGACACTGTCATATAATCTTGGCCCCCAAATAGCTTTGCCTCCTTTGCATGTCTAGACTAGAGAGCGTGTTAAATAAATGGCAAAGTAGCAACCTGATTCTTTGCTAGCCAACCAAGAGGTGCTCAGAACCAAAAGGGAAAAAAGAAAACATCAAAAAGGGAACTCATTTCCATTCCAAACCACAGCCACAGGCATGAGCTTATTTGCTGCCAGTTCGTGTTTGCCCAGAGTACACATTTGTTGATGACCTCATGTAAGCTAGGGGAATGAGTAAAAGTGAATCCATCTGAAATGAAACATCCCCATGATTCTCTGCTAAGAGGCATGTACATTCCCAGGAGAACTTTGTAAAACAGCTGCCCACGCTCTATTCCCCGGGGAGGCTCATTTAGTGGGCTGTGGTGTGACTTGGGAATTGGGATTTTTTTTCATGTTCCCTGGATGATTCTGACGCAGAGCCAGGTTCGGGGAAGCATCTCTCTAACACAATGGGAGGGGGAATAGGGGGCCACGCCAAAGCACAAACCAGAGTGATTGATTCTGTTTAATGTATGAAACAAATAATCAACCCTAAGGAAGATCCAGTCTCCTAGCTTGACATGCAGAGCTGTCTCTGAGGTTAGACCCATGCATGGGAGCCTGGAGATCAGGCCTCCTCTGGGGATTGGCCGTGCAGCTGGCTATAAACTAGGAGAGCTATTATGAATGTAGACTTCCACCTGGACATCCCAGATGCCTGACTTGTTCTCTTCTTTTCCCAGTTTGTGGCCCAGCCCAACTGCCAACAGTTGCTTGCCACTCTGTGGTACGATGGCTTCCCTGGATGGCGGCGGAAACACTGGGTAGTCAAGCTTCTGACGTGCATGACCATTGGGTTCCTGTTTCCCATGCTGTCTATTGCTTATCTGATCTCACCCAGGAGCAACCTTGGGCTGTTCATCAAGAAACCCTTTATCAAGTTTATCTGCCACACAGCCTCATATCTGACCTTCCTCTTCATGCTTCTCCTGGCTTCTCAGCACATCATTAGGACGGACCTCCATGTGCAGGGGCCTCCCCCGACTGTAGTGGAATGGATGATATTGCCTTGGGTTCTCGGTGAGTCAAAGAGACCAGGAGCTATGGCCAGACTGCCTGCTGGTCCTGTCTAAAGAAACTACTGGAATAGGCAGTTGGACTGGCCCTGAATTCGGGTACCTTCCCTCTGTGCAGTGGGGTTGTCCTTTGTTGGGAGTGTCAGAAATGTGGTTCCTTCTTCCCCAGGCCCTGGCCGCTCAGCACCACACGGTTCACCCTGAGATTGACAGTGTACCCAAGGCTTGTTTCAGCTAACCTAACATCATCAAGGACAAGGAAGTTGTCTGTCAGTTGTTTTAGAGGGAAAGCCAAGTGTTAAGTCAGGACAGGTTCAGGTAAGCTAGGCAGGGCAAGTGCTGGTCAGTCTATTCAATGCCTTCTTTCCCATAACTGGGGTTGGGGGGGAGGGGTGGCACTTGGATCTGCTGCTTTCCTGTGACTGCTCCACACAATCCCACTACTTATTCAGGGTCCACATCCTATTTAGATACTGATTTCACAACCAGAGGGAAACCTTGGGAAATTCACACAAGTCATGGTTAAAGCAGCCTTACCAGAAGCCTCCAGGCATAATTCCATTGCACTGGACCCTCCAATGCATTTCCATCCTCCAAGTCCTTGCTGCTCGAACTGTGGTCCCCAAACCAGCAACGTCAGCATCATCTGGGAACCTGTGAGACATGCAGAATCTCAAGTCTCACCCTGGGTCTGTGGAATCAGAATCTGCATGATCTCCGGTAGATTCCCGCGTATTTTAAAGTCTGAGACTCACTGCTTTAGACCACAGCCACACCTTTTACTGCTTTCCACATTCCAAGGCTAAAGAAACATCTATGCCATCAGGCAGAATTCCATGAAACCCACACGCAATGAGAGGAGAGAGGAGAAAAGAGGATTCTAAATTATTCTGGGCCCCATAGCCTAGCTCCAGTCCCAACATCCAGTACTTTGGACCATGGCCAGCTTTTGCTCACCTCAAAGCTCATTGAGAAGTTTTCCCTCTAGCACATAGTGGAAACTAAGGACTATGGGATAATATTGACCTAATTAATTCATTGATGAAATTACCCCTACTCTAAAATGGGAAGAGGGTAGAATCAGACGCCCTGAATTGCAACAACATTCCAGTAACTGTGGTAACGATGTAAAAGTGAGTAGTATCCAGAAAATTATAACATATAGACATCTTTAGGTAAAGCCTATCTTGGCGAGTTCAAGACAGGGAGGTGAGGTAGTAAAGAAAGAAGAAAGTTATTACTATCTCTAGGGGCTCCACTGACCCCCAATTCATTCATTGATTTCCTCTTTCTTCATTTGGGAGAATCCTGCTATGATGTCTAGTCTGACGCTGTGAAGAAATAAACCTTTTGCCTCCATTCTTCAGGTTTCATTTGGGGGGAGATTAAGGAAATGTGGGATGGTGGATTTACTGAATACATCCATGATTGGTGGAACCTGATGGATTTTGCAATGAACTCACTCTACCTGGCAACTATTTCCTTGAAGATCGTGGCCTATGTCAAGGTAACTTGGAATGTTCGCCATTTTTCTTAAACAATGATTTTGGTTACATTAAGCTTTAGCTGTGGGAGCATAAAAAGTTTAGGAGGAAAGTGCTGATGACAGTTCAGTCCATGTGGAAAAGTACCATAAAACAGACATTCTTTCAGTGGTTTGTAAGCAGTGTCCACCTAACCAAAGAAAGTGGAGAATGGAGCAATTTGCAAATGAATTCTTAGCTTCTTCAACTCTGACAGTCATCCACCTCAATTAGCGTTTACGTCCTTTCTACAATGTCCTCGCCAAGAAGATGGTCCACTGATGCTTGCACAGGGCAGAGACTAGGAAATTCACTGAATTTCCAGAAGCCTCTCTCAATACTTGTCACTTCATTAAAAAGTGCTACTTTGTATTTTTCTAATATTATTCTCCCTGTGACACATCCATTAGTAATCCTTCCTCCCTGTAGGGTCAAACGGAATGGGGCTGTTCCTCCTCCATAAAGGGCTTCCAATATGACGTCATCTCTCCCTAACCCGCTGAGCTGTCTCTTCCCAGAGCTAAGTATTCACACTTCCCTCAAGTGTTCTTCATTGGATAGGGAGCAGAACCCTAGAATCACATCACTTCCACCACCAGGATGATCATTCAAGCTGTTATGAATCCCGCCTTTCGAGTATCACCCAATCTATGTCTCCACGAATCTAGATCACACACACACACACACACACACCACCTTGATGTTGTCCCTGCACAATGTACAGCCTGAATTATCCTGAAAAACAGCTTCATGTCCAACACCTCATGCTGGGTGGTCACAGGCTCTGAGTTCGAGTTTGGTGCTCATTAGATAATGGAATGGCTATGCTCCCTATACCCTGAATTGAACTGCTCCAGCGTGAGAAAGGCTGACAATCCCATCTCCAAGATTGTCTAGTCAGTCATGCTTTTTGGCACTAAATCCCACATGAAGGAGTTTTAGAATGGGAATATGGCTGTCCCCCAAATCGCCAACTTAGTTTATTTTTATATCCCTAATATGCATATTGCATAAATTTTAAGACCTTTGGAGTTAGTTACATGGAGCGTGAATATTGAATGCAGTCCTGAAACATTTTTGAAAGCCTAAGAGTATGCTTTCACTGGTGGTGATCGTTTAACACATACTTACAACTTCGTTACAAGAAAAAGCTGGTAAGGAAAATGTTTGAATCTCTGGTTAATGTGCCTGGATGAAATCCATGTCATTCTGGCACTCTGCTGACTAAGTAACACTGTTTGCCTAAAAAAAAAAATTCTTCGTTTGGCAGTGGTATTTATATCCTGAAGGGACAATAAATTATCAATCTAGAAATTGGTGGGTTCTGCTTAAACAGGAAAGTTTAGAATAAATGATCAAAAGGATTAACCCTTGGGGATGTGCAAATGTGTCAACAGATGCCCAACGTTAGTTAATCACATAACCTGTCCAATTTCACTGGCAAGCCTTCCAAGGACCAGATACTTCCCCACCATAGACTGTAAGGATAAATCAGCTCCACTAAGCTGAGCCCCTCAACTGACATTGAACCCAAAAAAAGACATTTGCCAAGAAGTTAGAGTCCTTCTCAAGAAAGGAGAATTTACCAAGCAAGACATTCCACATGCAGACTGGATTTGCACTGAGAAACTATCAACGGGCAGTCTGGTCCACGCTTGCACAGAGGCACACCAGTCTGAAATGAACTTCTCCAAGTAGGCTGAGCCAACCTCTACGAGGTAAAGACACAGGGCTGGTCCCCAGGCCCTTTGAAAAATTTCAGATCACTATTGTACTGAGGCAGTACAGAAGCACCATGGCATAAACTGGCCTTAAGAAAATCCTTCATTAGCGTGAAAAACTAGTCAACAGTATATATACTCCACCTCACATTATTTTGCTTTTGAGTTCATCCCCCTTTGAAAAGCGTAGAGGCCAATTTTCAAGCTGCATTCCATCCCAAAGAATATAAGAAAACTCACCTGCCTCCCAATATCACTAACTCAAGAGTCAGGAAACGTAAATGTAATCCCTGCTCTGATATTTAGGAGCTAGACTAGCTGGATTACCACAGGCCATCCTTCTACCTCTCTGAGCCTCAGACACGGCCTCTGAAAAATAAAACTGGACTAGATCAATGGATTTCAGGCTTTGAATTGTTTTCCATGGAACCACATCTTGAAATTAAAACTTATGCAGAACTTGAATATATTAAGGAGCTCAAAGGAATGAATTTGAATCGAGGAATGAATCTTCCAGGCCTCCTCTTTGGTTTCCACAGTAGCCACCGGGTGCTTCCACTGAACCCTCAGGCTTGAAGGAACGCAATTTGAAAACCATTTGCGTTTGATCAGGGGTCAGCAAACTATGATCTGCAGGCCAAACTGGGGCCACTGCCACATCTGTTTGTTTATGTATTGCCTGTTAGTTCTAGAAGGAAAGAGTTGAGTAGTTGCCACAGGGACCATATAGTCCACAAAGCCAAAAATATGTACTATCTGGCCCTTGTCAGAAAAAGTCTGCTGACCTCTACGTAGGCTAAACGAGCTCCAAGTTTATTCCCTGCTATCATATTCTATAATATCTTTCTCCAAAAATATACATGCAAAGCATAGATTTGCCACGAGAATCACCTTTCACACTTTTGACTGTCCTGCAAATCCAAACTCACCAGCCCATGGGCAGAAGACTTCTCTGTGGTTACACGTGTGCCTGTGGAGAGAGAAAACCCTAAATTATGAGTTATGCATGTTCCAGTTGAGAGTACCTAGTTTTAAAATATAGGTCTGTTTTGTTATCAGCAAAGAATCTGCATCTTTCACATAGACCACCAAACCTGTAAAGGCCTATCTAACATATGTGCTGTGATATCAACTATCATATATGTAATATTTAACGGAAATAGTGCTAGACTGAGTGTGCAGAGACCTGAGTTTTGGTCCTGGCTCTGCCACCAACTTGCTGTGTGACCTTAAGCAACTCACTCTGCCTCTCTGGATTTCAGCTCCTCCACTTGTAAAACAGGCATAACAATGTCCACCCCTCACAACGATGCAGCAAATGTTTTCTTTAGAAAGAAAAACAGAGAGATACAAGATTTGGCCAAGAGTGTGTAAGACCAATTGGCCACCCCAAGTCTATTTGAAACAGAAGCAAGTTTTCTCCAAACTCCTCTGACAGTGAAGAATATTGGATACACACAATGATTTTAACAACACCAGTTTCCTCAGTTGTTGGAAGCGAAGCACATTTTAGAAATGCTAACAATATAATTTGGCCCTCGATGCAACATTTTCTCAGGAAAGTTGTTTACATTTAGTCCTGAGAAATTGTGATATTTAGATGAGTGCTCAAGGCAATATGCTTCAGATTGAATTCCAGGCAAAATCTACTTCTGTCTTGGGGAAGGTAAAAAGCAATTTCTTATATTTCCATAACACCTCCCCTTATGGAGTACACAGACGTTCACATATGGATACATAATCACAGACATGTGCAGTGGGTAGGAGTAGATATTATCCTCATTCTCTGGTGAAATTGAGAGAGAGGCAGTTTTAAGCGACAAAGCCCAAATTGGAGCTCAGGCCTCACGTCGAAGCCATCTTTCCACGAGGCAACCTCTAACGTTCCAGGAGCTGAAAGCTCAGACAAGACTGAAAAATGGGCAGCCAACCCCAGAAATCCTGGCTCTTCCCCTTCTTCAACCCCTGGTTCTTCATTTGTGCTAGAGGGACATTGCAATTTGTCAGACTGTCAAAGGAACAATAAAATACATCCATACACCACTGTGAGGACAGTACTAAATTTACTACCTGGAATGTTGACGTGCCATTTGTAATAGTATGAGAGAAAAGCGTATTGGCAGAAAACTCTGAGTAATGACCCTCTAAGAATGCTCTATCAGCCCCAAACTGCAGTCAGCAGGGAAGTCAACATGAACACTGCACACGGAGGAGACTGAACCTGTCGCTTGTCCTTCAGTAACTACAAGTCGTCTGCAGTGCTCAGAACAAAATGGGGGATTGGGTAGGAAAGTTGATTTGAAATCTCATTAGGAAGCAGAGCGATTTGGGCATACCTGTGGCTCTGTTCCAGGGACACTTCTCAACAATCTGGTCAACTCACACTTCAAAAATGTCTGTTGATAAACTACAGGTGGTTACTCCAGATAACTGCTCTGAAATTCATTTTTCTACATCTATGTGCTGGGTATATATTTCGATGAGAGTGGGAGGATGAGTGTTATTCGCATCATGTATTGATTGGGTGGGAAAAAAAGACAAATAGTGCCAATCACGGGGGGAGCTGTTGTATAAATGAATGCTTGACGCTTACTTTCGTGGCTTTATTTGGGTGCAGAAGGGAGAAAAGAGGGGAAAGTTTTCTAAATGCTCGATGTACCTCTCATCTTGTGCACTTGTTGTTTCTTCCAGTATAATGGTTCTCGTCCAAGGGAAGAATGGGAAATGTGGCACCCAACTCTGATTGCAGAAGCTCTCTTTGCGATATCCAACATTTTAAGTTCGTTGCGTCTCATATCCCTCTTCACAGCCAACTCCCACTTAGGGCCTCTGCAGATCTCTTTGGGGCGCATGTTGCTTGATATCCTCAAATTCCTCTTTATCTACTGCCTGGTACTGCTGGCTTTTGCCAATGGATTGAACCAGCTTTACTTTTATTATGAGACCAGAGCAATCGATGAGCCCAACAACTGCAAGGGGATCCGATGCGAGAAACAGAACAATGCCTTCTCCACGTAAGACTCCCCGCTTTCCTCTTTTGCCTTTTGTCTGCTTTCTCCTTCTTTGCCCTATTTTCCGTCCACAGCTTCATCACTGCCCCTTGACAGTGCATGCAGAGCTCACTTATGGATCAACCCGAAGGGTCTGAAGTGAAGGAAGGTTCTTCCCTCCCTGCAGGGGACCAGGACGGGAAGTAGAGTTAGGTGAGGGAGGAAAGAGACAAACACACAGGGGCTCCCAGGAACTCATCTAAAGGGTTAGTTCTGAACTATTTGGTCACATCCCATATTTTTAAAGGAATTCATGGGAAGGGGTAAATAATTCCTCTCTCTAAAAAGCATCACTAACCGAGGAAATGAAGCGGTAAGGCTATACCTCTCAACAAGTGATTGCCAAAGCTAATGTAACTGTTCTGAATCAAGAACAAAGAAAAAGGGAGAGTGCAAAATTATCTGAATGCACCTTGTGATATTGTGATTAATAATAAGAAATATGTATTTGCTCTTTGTCTCCATTTCTGGCACAGAGCTCCGAAAAGCCTTGGAATTTCCTAGGTGATGAGAACAACAAAGGTGTCTTTGGCTGTGTTAACAAAGTGACTTTTGGACCTCACCTAAGGATGGGGGCCGGTTACCCCCATGTGATTAGAGGGTTGGAACATTCAGTCTCACCCCTGCACCTTCAAGGGAGGGGAGAGGGACTGGAAATTGAGTTCAATTACCAATGGCCAATGATTTAATCAACCGTGACTATGTAATGAACCCTCCATAAAAACCCAAAAGGACAGGGTTCAGAGAGCTTCCAAGTTGGTGAGCACGTGGAGATTTGGGGAGAGTGGGTGATCAGAGAGGGCAGGGAAGCTCTGCAAGCCCACACATACCTTGCCGTATGCCTGTTCTATCTGGCTGTTTCTGAGTTGTATCCTTTTATAATAAACCAGTAATCTAGTCATTTCAATGTTTCTCTGAGTTTTGTGAGGTACTCAAAGCCAAGGAGAGGGCTGTGGGAAGCTCTGATCTATAGCCAGCTGGTCAGAAGCACAGGGGACAACCTGGACTTGTAATTAGCATCTGGGAATGGGGGAAAGGGGAGCAGTCTTGTGGGACTGAGCTCTGAATCCATGGAATCTGACGTTATCTCCCAGGGGTGTCAGAATTGAGTTGACTTGTAGGACACCCAACTGGTGTCAGAGAATTGGTGATATGGGGGGAAAATATCTCCCCATACCCAAAGGCTGGAATTGAGTTAAGACCGCTTAGATGGTGTCAGAGCAATGGGATTTGCTAGAACAGCCCTGGCTCACGGAAACATGTGGTTTGGGAAGAGAAAAATAAATAAGAGGGCAGGGGGATGACGAATCTTTGATTCCTAGATGCAGAAGAGACAGGCTAAAAGTAAGATGAGAGTCAGCTCAACTTCTGGGGTTAAATTAAGGTTTCAGGTGGGCCAAAAGGCACCAAGCAGTGACTGGAAATGTCTCCTTTTCCCACTTGGGACACAGGAGACAGCTCATGACTCTCTGGCCATGAGTCCACTGCCTCTGGACCTATGCCTTTTCTTTGTAAACCCAACACCTACTTCTCTAGGACCTTTAAGCTTCCAGAATGGCTTTTATTTTCTCACAAGTCACTGTTAGGGGAAGCAGACAAGAGAAAGAAAATAAGCACATGTCAGGAAAAGTGTTGGGTTCCAGGAGCAGTCCTGAGCTTACCCCGGACTCAGTGTCCTACACCTTGTCCATCTCTAGCCCCTGTTCTGGAGAGAGCCAGTCATCTGGTAATCACAGCAATTACCCCAAGGTCGTGAGAGATTCTTAGTCATTAAATTGAGATACAATTTTCCCCCTTAACTCTATAAACTAGGGCAGATCAATGGACTCAGACATTCTCGAAATGTGTTAAATAACGAAGGCCAGGGGGGAAAAAAAGGGTTTCTGCCTGACCCCAAGTTGCACCAACAGAGAGGGGAAAAAGCAAGGCAATGTAGCCTACCCTTATTATTTGCCTCTAGCAGCATTTCCTAAAATAGATGACAGATAACCACAGTTCACAGGGATATGAATAGACATGAAAACAAGATCTCTGATCAAGTGAATTTTGGAAATGCTGGGACAAATTTAAGAAGGTTTCTCTACTGCAGGGCTTCTCAGAGATTTTCCATTGTGAATCTATAGTAAAGGGAGAGGTTTTCCCAAATGTATTGACCAAGATGCTCTTCCCGTGAATAAAGTTTGGAAAATGTTGCCTTGCCGCGTTGCCCATTTTATAGCACCCACCCCCTCCACTAGGCAACACTCCCTCCCTCTCCTCCCAGAACTCAGGGCAAAATCTTGGATGGGGAAACCAGACTTATGTGAAAGGGGGAAAGAGGCCAAAATGGGATGACAAAGAGATAGTGCCGTTTTGGTGAAGCCAACCAGGAGTGGACAAAGGCAACTGGTCACCTCGCTAATGCCTCTTGACTAGGAACTGCTTCCTCTCCTGCATTAGTCTAGAGACAGAACTCACATCAACCTGTTTTCAATACAAAGAGCAATTTTGTAGTGGCTTGAGCACCAGGAGACCGTATCTGTTCCCACCAAAGCATTCGACAGAATTGCACACCTGAATGCAAGGCGCCTTCCGGGAGGCCAGGTCCCTGCCAATTACCCTCTCACATGAACTCTGCTGAGGAAGTTTATGAAATGCCTCCTTGTAAGTCTGTAGTGATTATTAACACCCCTGTTGCCAACTGACATTGGTTCTCATCACTTGCCCAGCAGGGACAATTGACAAGAATGGGCACCTGTAGTACATGAAGTTATCTCTTGGGGTGTCAGGTATAAAGAAGCATTGTCATGCTGGGGGCAGATCAGCAGTAATGTTACCTTAACTTCCCTTCTAGGTGTTGATTTCTTTTTTCCTCCACAGAAGTCTGACTCAGATTTATGTTTTCCTTTAAATGCCTCAACTCAGGCATTTATAATACCTGCTAAAATACATGCTACTTAGAGCGTCAGAAAGACTCTGTTTTTAGAGAAGGGGAAAAGGGAGCTTGTTAACAGATCTGACGTAAACTATGGCATCTGCTTGCTGTCACCCTTTTCCTTCTGATTCTCCAGAGATGTCATTGCTATTCTCCTGCTTAAAAAAGAAAAAATTTTCTGGGCACACAATTCAGGGGGACCTTGTTATCCTTGCTGACAAGCACATGACAGTACTGTGGGTGGTTTGAGTTCAGTATTCAATACTGGCCTTCATCCACTGTTGAGAGCAATTGGGAAGGCATCCTTCGGCGGGCACGGGGCTTGGGAAGAAACAGGGAGGAAGTGGCAAAAAGCTAACTTGGTGGTGCTGTTTCTCCTTCTGAGGTGCTGACCCTCAACTCCAGATGCCTCCTGAACACACCTGGCTGTGCCGCAGGCCTCTCAAACACAACATCCACAACTAAATTCCTTATCTCTATAGCCCCACCCCAAACCCACTTCCGTCTTAATTCCTCATCTCATTCAATGACACCAGGCAGACTCCTAGGAGTCATCTGGGACTCTCCCCCTCTCCCCCAAGCAACACATCCTGTCTCACACTCACTTCCTAAATATCTCTTAAACCCATCCCCTGTACACACACACACACACACACACCCCACTGTCTTGATTCAGGCCTAAACCATCTCTCCCCAAAACTGCTGGGTCTTAAGTGGTCTTAAGTGGTCTCCCTGCCTCCAGTCTTGTTGCCCCCGCAAACGATTTCCCACCCACCACACAGAAGTTTCTAAATACTAGTCTTATCTTGTCGCCCCCTGGTCTCATGCCTGCCTGGTATCTGTATATTCTCCAGCAGAAAATTCTCCTCTTTCCTATAGCTCACAGGGCCTGGGAATCTGGAGCCCGCCTCTCACGCCTGTCACTCCTCTCCTCCATAGTCAACGTCTTGCTCTTCCCAACTTCAGGAGAGCATCTCAGCCCTACAGGCCCTTGTACGTGACACGCCACTCCCTCTTCCTGGAATGCCCAACCCCACCTGGCCAGCCTGGACCACTCTCATGCATCCTTCAAGCATCTGCCAAAGCCTCACCTGCTGTTTTAAGGCTTTTCTTACCCACTCCGACCCCACTCTCAGATACAGTCTCCTTGTGTGTCTCCCATGGCATTCTAAGTCCATCTCCGTTATAATAGATAACCTATAATAATAAAGGTACTAGTCATAATAATAATGTAATAGATAACATATTTTAGTCATTTGTTGTCTCTTACCCACCAGACTGAGACCCCCATTTTAGAGGCCTTGCTCCTACCATAGACATAAAGGGGTTCAACATGCCCATTGAACAACTGAATGAAAGGATGAATTCTAGTAGCAATCCTATCTTTAGTTCTAGAAGATTCACTTCTGCTTCTGCCCCCCTCACATGGCTAAAGTATCTAGCCAGCTCTGTCACTCTACTGATCCACTTGCTGTCAGAGAAAACCCTTGGCCTTTCTCCTACCTCCCTCATCCTGTACGTGGGCACTTGGCCAGAGAACAAAGGTCTACATTGATCCCTACTAAACTTCATCGTGTTAGTTCCAGCCCCTTGCTCCAAGCTGTTGAAATCTTGCTGAATCTTGATTCTGTCGTCCACTCTATCAGCTGTCTCTCCCAGTCTTGTATCGTCTGAAGATCTAAAAAGCTTGCCACCTATTCTCATCCAAAGCATTGATAAAACTGTCATTCAGGCCTGGTATTCGCTGGGTGGAATATTGGGTGGCTATTAAAATTACATTTATGAAATGTGTGATTTTTAACACATTTTTGACCGGAGATGTATTACGGCCTCAGGTGTTAGTTTCTGCAAAAATGCCCCGGTCAATAATGGGTTCAAAACACAAAAATTGTACACACTATGATTGCAACTAACATAACTGCAACTAGATACGCAAATGAGTGACCATCTACAAAGGCAATAAAGAAACGTGAAACAGCAAGGTTGGATTTAGGTGGGAGGTTAATAAAAGTCATAAAAATAGCATATTTGCTGAGTGCTAGGTCCAGGC